TGTTGTCTACAATAGTACTGTCATGAGTAATCACCAGATTTTTACGCACTATTTAATTATAGACATTAATACAACAATATTATCTCTAACTTGTATTGTTGTCTACAATAGTATTACATGGAGTAATCACCAGATTTTGACGCACTATTTAATGATAGCATTAATCAACAATATTATCTCTACTTGTATTGTTGTCTACAATAGTATTACAAGGAGTAATCACCAGATTTTGACGCACTATTTAATGGTAGCATTAATCAACAATATTATCTCTACTTGTATTGTTGTCTACAATAGTATTACATGGAGTAATCACCAGATTTTGACGCACTATTTAATGGTAGCATTAATCAACAATATTATCTCTACTTGTATTGTTGTCTACAATAGTACTGCATGAAGTAATGTCCATCTATACATATGTAGTGTTTATTATTTGGACCGACATGAACCGTTCCTTCTCTAATCAGTTAAGCATAGCCTTCGCGGCTGATGATGTCTTAAAATATCTTGAAAGTTCGTGTTCAAAACACCTTATTACTTGAAGATAAAAGCCTGTTAAATATGTGCCAGTTATATGTTTAATCAAAATACAAGATGATTATAAGGAAAAGCCTGTATTAAAAATGATTAGATTTTGAGATATATTCATGAAGGAAAACAACATGAGAATCACGAACCTTACACTACATATCTTTTAGCTTTTATTTCTCTTCGTTCTCTTTCTTTTCATTAATAAATTGATCATTTGAATAAAACGCTGATCAGATATTATGAGGATCAATGAAAACTATCTAGAGCTGATGATGCTTGAAGTAGCATCATTTAAGGATGGGCTTCATGTGCGGATTGAAAATGACGGAAAGCATCCTGAATACCTTCTGTGATAGTACTTGAAACACACTTCACTATGTCTCAATAAAACTTATGACTCGCAATATGTCGCCCCCCAGTGGCACAGCGGTAAGCCTACGGACTCATAATGCTAGATACCAGTGGTGGGCACAGCACAGATAGCCTATTGTGTAGCTTTGTGCTTATCTACAAATAAACACAATATACCTCCGGTAAAAGTTTACTCTTCTGGGGTAGAGATATAATCACTTGAAAAGTGGGGTTTCTTCATAATTACCGTGTATACCTCACGCGTTTTCTAATAAATTAATTCTACGTTAAAGGATGTAATTCATTATAAATGATTTTATTGACAATGAGAAAGTCGCTTGAAAAATCACTGGTTTGGAAATTTTAAACATTATTTATTATTAACATTTAGTTAAGTCCAATCAATTAGCTATACTTTTCCGTATGTACTGTCAACCAACGTTCAAAGAACCGGCATGAAAATCAGGTTAATTAAATTTCATGATCCGACAGTCAAACACTTAGCGATATCTTTTATTCGGGAGAAAACATAAAAAATACAACACTTACTGCTTAGTACATGGCATATCTAGAAGGATAAAGATACAGAATTCAATACTAGGACTTTGTTATATTGATGACGACAAATTTGAAACTATCTGAAACAGCTAAAACAAATAGAAATAATTGATGAAAAATTTACGTTTCTCAATTAATTACACAGTTGTATGAAGAAACTGAGACCGTTAATTAATAGTGAATTTTGATATATAGATGTTCCTAAATCCGGGAAAACTAATTTGAAGTAAATGAATTAAATTGAAAAATTAATACTTTTCATTTGTTATAGTTTACACGGTTCCTTTGTAATTTACAAACAAAAAAGCAAGGGTATTGCATGTAGTCTCAGTTTTAGGACTTATAAAACTCACTTTTTAATAAAGAAGTTTAGGTAAAAATTAGTTTTTTGGTGACATATGTTATACGATTTTAACAACAATATGTAAAAAACGATATTTTAATCTCACTTATTAAAACATTTTTCATTAGAAAAAAAAAATTTTGGTTTTATTTGATACGCTGAGTCAATGTAACAGTTAGTTTTATTGAAATATTATCAAACGTACTTACAATGAACATGGAGCAGAATTCTTCGACTGACCGACGGAGGAACACCGTTCGAAGCTATGCAGAGATAGGCTCCCATGTGTAGTCTTGTGACACGTGTTATGCTCAGCTTCTCACCTTCGTGACTAATATCTAAACCAATCCAAAGATTTGACTACATAGTAAGGAAAATACTACACAGAATCACTTACAAAAAAGTAAAAACAACTTACACAAAATTATTTATAAGAAAGAAACAACAACTTATACAGAATCACTTATAAGAAGGAATAACAACTTACACAGAATTACTTATAACAAAACAACATCAACTTACATAGAACCATTTACAAAAAGTAAATACAATTCACACAAAATCACTACAAGAAAACAACAACTTACACAGAATCACTTATAAGAAAGTAATAGCAACTTACACAGAATCACTTATAAGAAAGTAATAACAACTTACACAGAATCACTTATAAGAAGGCAACAACTTACACAGAATCACTTATAACAAAACAACAACAACTTACACAGAATCACTTATAAGAGAACAACAAAATCTTACATAAAATCATATATAAGAAAGCAAAAACAATTTACACAAAATCACTTATAAGAAAGCAAAAACAACTTATGCAGAATCATTTAGAAGAAAGCAGCAACAACTTATACAGAATCACTTATAAGAAACCAAAAACAACTCATATTGAATCATTTACAAGAAAGCAACAACAACTTGCAAAATATCAACTTACACAGAATCATTTAGAAGAAAGTAATAGCAACTTACACAGAATCACTACAAGAAAACATCTTACATAGAATCAGTTATAAGAAACGAATAACAACTTACACAAAATCACATATAAGAAAACAATATCAACTTACACGAAATCATTTAAAAGAAAGTAATAACAAGTTACTTAAAATCGATAGAAGAAAACAACAACTTACACAAAATCATTTATATGAAAACAATATCAACTTATACAGAATCATTTAGAAGAAAGTAATAGCAACTTACACGGAATCACTACAAGAAAACGACAACTTACACAGAATCACTTATAAGAAAGAAACAACAACTTACACAGAATCACTTATAAGAAAACAATATCAACCTACACAGAATCATTTACAAGAAAGTATTAACAACTTACTCAAAATCGCTACAAGAAAATAAGAACTTACACTGAATCACTTATAAGAAGGCAATAAAATTTACTCAAATCATTAATAAGAAAAAAACAAAAACTTCCATATAAACACATATAACATAACAACACCTTACACAGAATTACTTATAAGAAAACAAAACCAACTTATACAGAATCATTTATAAGAAAGCAACAACATCTTGCACAGAATCACTTATAAAAAAGGAATAACAAGTAACACAGAATCACTTATAAGAAAGAAATAACAAATTACACAGAATCACTACAAGAAAACGACAACTTACACAGAATCACTTATAAGAAAGAAACAACAACTTACACAGAATAACTTATAAGAAAACAATATCAACCTACACAGAATCATTTACAAGAAAGCAGCAACAACTTGCACAGAATCACTTATAAGAAAGGAAAAACAACTCACACAGAATCTCTTATAAGAAAGGAATAACAAATAACACAGAATCATTTATAAGAAAACAATATCAACATATACAGAATCATTTAGAAGAAAGCAACAACAACTTACAAAGAATCAATGATAAGAAAGCAAAAACAAATTTTACAGAATCATTTATAAGTAAGCAAAAACAACTTACACAAAATCACTTATAAGAAAGCAAAAACAACTTACACGGAATCATTTAGAAGAACGTAATAACAAGTTACACAGAATTACTTATACGAAAGGAATGACAACTTAAACAAAATAACTTATAAGAAAACAACAACAACTTACACACAATCACTTATGATAAAACAACAGTATCTTACATAGAATCACATATAAGAAAGTAAAAACTACTTATACAGAATTATTTATAAGAAAGCAACAACAATTTACACAGAATCACTTATAAGAAAGAAATAATAAGTCACACAGAATTGCTTATAAGAAAGGAAATAACTACTTAAACAAAATCACTTATAACAACGCAACAACAACTTACACGGAATCACTTATAAGAAAAAAGTATCAACATACACAAAATCATTTAGAAGAAAGTAATAGCAACTTACACACAATCACTACAAGAAAACAACATCTTACACAGAATCAGTTATAAAAAGAAATAACAACTTACTCAAAATCGCTAAAAGAAAAGAACAACTTACACAAAATCACTTATAAGAAGGCAACAAAAATGTACATAGAAGCATATATAACAAAGCAACAACAACTTTTACACAATCACTTATAAGAGAAGAACAAAATTTTACATAGAATCACATATAAGAAAACAACAACTTACACAGAACCACTACAAGAAATCAACTACTTACATAGAATCACTTATAAGAAAGCAGCAAAGAAGCCTGCCAATACTTGTTCTGATTAATTGAATTTATAGGTTAAGTATGCACTAACTCACCACCTATATCAAGAAGCCGCAGTAGGTACAGCTGTTTGATTTTTAGTGCATTGCAAATAGATGGGTTGAAATGAAAACGCATTATGTAAAATACTAGCTTTAGTCTGACTTTGTGCATAATAAAGGCGCTTTTAACATTTACTAGTCATTTGAGAAAAATATTACCATAAACACTGAAAACAACAAAAAGAAAGACTAATAAAACATTTGGACTACTTTCGTATGTACAAACTGCACATTTCTATTTTTGAGATCTTGTATACTATAAGAATTTAAACTTCAACATGTTAATATTGAATATTTTTAATGGAAGAAGTTATTTTTTTTACCACTTCCAAGTCAATTGTTTTTTTTCTACACGTAGAAATAAGTTATTGTTGTATTTTAGAACTGAAATGTTTTTATGAATTGCTATTTTTATATATCTTATGTTCTGTTCCATAGTCTAAACTGCGCCTGAATAGCATCTCAGAAAAGAGCGAGAATCATAGGTAACATTAGACACCTGAGCCTTCATCTTGACTGTAAATGCTATCAGATTATTCAGCGAAATTACATAATGACTCCTAGATATTTAGTGCATTGTATTCAACACTTACTTATGATCTTCTGACCGGTCCCCTGTGTTAGGGGGATCGGCTCACCATCTTCTCTTCTCCAAGTTATACTTGGTTCTGGGTAGCCTCTAGCCTTGCACTCCAAAGTGACATTGGAGCCTTCCCTAGTGACCATATCAGACGTACTTTTGTCCACTATAATGTCCGGTGGAACTAGAGTGAAACCAGTTCAAAATAATATTTATAAATAGAAGAATATATATTTTTGAGTTGTAAAACAAGAAGCAACTTATATGTTGAACTAAAGTAGGCAAGACCTTAAAAAATCAATTTGTGACTACGTCACACTCACTTTAATGAGTGATTCAATGCACCTGGTTTATTCGGCGTTCTTAAGTAAATTTATAAATTACATTTCAATGGAAAAATGCAATCTCTATATCTGAAGGAATACTGGAGATGACATCCTTCTTTAAAAGTGCATCTCAGTTGTATGTAATTAATATGCATAGTTAGCTTTTTAAACATATAAAACAATATTTACCGATATATGGCAAGACTGAATAGTAAGGAACTTCATAATTTACTAAAGTTCTAGTAGTTACGACTTATTTGATCAATCACAGAAATATTTTCATTTCTGCTTAGATTAAATATTCAAACAGAAAGGGCGAGCATGTTTGGTGTGACGGTGATTCGAACCCGCGACCCTCAGATTGCGAGTCGAGTGCTATAACCACCTGGCCATGCCGGGCCGGTTGATATTAAGTCTGTATCTTAAGGACAGTGTCCATCGTAAGTGTAAGGAGAAGGAATCGGATTAGAAAGGATTAAAAAAATACGCCAGTTTTTGTTTCAATGGCCTACACAAAGAATACGTAAGCTTTGACTTCTCTACGTACTCAGAGTAAAGTTCAGTGATATGTTTTTTTAGACAATGTATGTTTTTTTAATGGATGTTACTTCCGATTTTTTCATTTCAGTCAGAGAGCATAACCGGATATGAAAATATAGTAATCATACAGACGGAGGACTTTTTACTCCTCCAACGTAATGGTCATTTCAATAACCTTTATTGTTTAATGTTGCTATAAATACTAATGATTTGTTTTGTTTAGATATCTAGTCCTTCACTCACCATGATAACCTAAACTACTTTAGGTATTTGCATAACTTAACACATCGTCACAATTAATTATCCATTATTATTCAGCAGACTAGCTGGACATTTATTTGTTTGTGAGTATTTTTTTCTGATCAAAACGTAAATTTCAGTGAAGTAAAGATAACGTGGAGGCCTAATCTATTCTGTGATTCGCTACTCCCGTTGCAGTAAACTCGTTTCTCCGAATTCACGGCTACATTGCAGCGAATCAAAGAATCATCTTTATTTTTTTCAATGAAATTTATGTTTTTATGAAGAAATGAAATTCATAACTAAATACTTATGATTTAAAACTTCCATTACTTTAAAACCACAGCTTTGTTTAGTTTTGTTTGCATTATCTTGGGATCAGCTGTAATTTTAAAGCTTCCAATACTAAAATCCAGGGTTCGATTCCCCGTGGTGGAAAGTGTGCAAATGTCCAATTGTGTGGCTTTGAATGAAGAAAATATCAGCAATAATAGTTTTCTCCTGTGTTTACTATATAATGCTTTGTATCAGAATTCAACATTACCTTCTAATAACAACCCCAAACAAATCTTCAACACCACTACAATAATGTATGAAAACGTCACAGTATTTCTTTTTTTACCTTTTGAAACAGTATTGAGTCAGTACAACATACAATTGTGATTTGTTTGTAATTAAGCACAAAGCTACACGATGGGCAATCTTTGCTTTTTCCAGCACGGGTATCGAAACCCGATTTCTAGCGCTTTAAGCCCACAGACATACCGCTGTGCCACTGGAGGGCTATCATTATCGATAAAAGCTTCTTATTGAAATTAATTTTTTTTTCTAAAGCATAAAAATGAGTTATTGTAGCTTGTTGTATCCACCGTAAGTAAAATATCAATCTGTTTATTTGTAGCACAAAACTATACAATGGACTATCTATGCCCTGTCCACCACGGGGAATCGAACCACTGACTTTAGCACCTTAAGTCCGGAAACTTACCGCTAACCCATCGAGGGACGTCACCAGGGGAATAAGGTGTATAAAATCGCAGAGTAGGAATTCACCGACAATTATCACTAAGATGCATAAAAAAACAAACAAGCAAACATCAGGGAAGACATTTATATTATGTGCTCACTTAGAACATCGAGGTAGCCCACTTGACTTATCATAGGAATAGTGTTCAGCTGACACATGTACCCTCCTCTATCAGACTCTTGGACGTCCTTGATGTGTAGCAAGAAGTTTCTGTTGTCGCTGTCTTTAAGACTGATCCGATAATTCCTTGTAATAACATGATGATAAATGGTCAATATTGCTTTCGTCTTCACTTTGATCCAGGCAGCCTGAAAGACATTTTACATAACACATTGCAATACGATCTATAAAGCATTTTCCCAACGTAAATGATGTTTTTACAACAACATAAATTATTTATTAGCTTTCTTTACTTTCTTTTTTTTTCATGCAGATTATCATCTGTTTATTAGCTATCTACATAAATGTTCTTTCATCTAGTCATTTCACGTAGATATTTTGGTCTTCCGTTTTTATCATACTAACTCATTTATCTTTACTTCAAACTTTATTTTACTAACCACTTTTCTACTTTACGGCACTATTTTCATTTTCTCCAACTCTCTTTTATTTTACCTCATCCATTTTCTTTCCATTTACCTTACTAGTTACTATTCTTCTTTACGTACTTTCCACTTCTTCACCATTCTTTAACAACCATCATTTCTTTATTATTGCCAAGTTTCGCTTTCTGCTTCCATCAAGGATCTGAATAGGCCTTTCGAAAGCACTACTTCAGTAAATTTATGAGTTTTTATCCCTAATTTATTTATGGTAGTATTTGAAGTTCCCAAACATAGCTTAAGAATAATAATCACATTATAATAAAATCACTTGATTTAACTTTATATAATGATATTGATATTTTAATCTACAAATATTTCACTGAAATAAGATATACTTGTTGGATCAATAATCATAAATAATCATAAATATCTGTACGCAAATATAATTTATAATATACATATATTAGATATTGCTTTCATACATAGTAGAGAGTATTCATATGTCCATTTACAGACAAATATTTAAGAAATGGAGGGTATAGGAAAAATAATTGTCAGTTGTATGCATTGAGGTATTATGTGCCTATTCTGTTATGATGTCATTGAAGTCTGAAATCATTAAAAGTCCTATTCGATGTCTTGTCTTCCCGATATTGATGTGTACCATTGTACAAAAGTTTAACATTAGTAAAAAAAAACAAAAAACATTTAGATCCAAAATTACCAAAAGCGTTCTCAAGAACAACAGTTATAGGCATAAATGAACACCTTCCGTGCACTAGGAGTTGTGCCACAGAAGACCTGAACATCATAGCAAAGGCTATTACACAAATCTAGGTTTCAGGTGCAGGGTTAAAATCTTGTATAAGAAGGCTATTGCATCTTTAAAGGGTCCAAAAGATTAAAAAGTTTTAAAACAATATCCACTTACATAATGCAACATTCGAGCATTATGCTGCAACTGGTTCTACATGATTTACGTAATATTACATATTCAGTTTAACATAGTCTTAATGTATGGAGAGTTTCAACAGAATGAAAATGGTGTTGCCAGATTATATGCCGAATGAATCTCAAGTAAACGTGATCCTTCACGTCGTATGATAGGCATTTACGATAGATGACATAAAGGCAGATAAAGAGCAGCAACCAATGATTATCACCATACTAGTGTACAGTAAGAATGTGTGAAATCATTTTAAATATTTTCCCCTTTAGCTTCATTAAATCTAATCATTTTGTAATCTGAAATAAAATATTGATTGTCTGCCACCAATTCGCAATGCTGTTTTGTTATGGAATGTATTTGGTAATTTTTTGGTTTAAAATATTTCATGTATTATTTTTACATTTTTTCAATTGACATTTATGTTGTATGATGCAAATTACTAAAAATTTAGAAGTTGACCTTGAGTTATCTAAATGACATTGTCATAGGTTAGACTCACAACACCTAATTCAAATCACTAACGAATATTTTCCTATATCTCTTCATTTCTGAATAATTTTTTTAGTAACTGATTTTTGAATCACCCAGTATACTACTTTGACATTAAACACTCACTCGATATGACCCTAGGTTATCCACCACACATGGAATCTCTGCATCTCTGCCGAGAACTACTGTAACGTTTGGAATTGGCTCAGCAAATCGTGGTAAAATGTTGATAGATGCCACTTCTGTCAAAAGAAATGAAAGTTTTTTTTTATTTAAAGGGAAACTTTGGTTTTACGGAAATTTAAAGAGGATAGTCTGTTTGATGTTACATAAGCCACGCAAATTTTTTTCGGGTAAAGTTTAAACTATAACATCCACGTGGCGCTTTTAAATGACAATAATAGTGTCGTGTTCACATAAGCTTAGTTAAACGTTATGAATGAACAAAAATATATATATTTTGGATAGCCAGTTCTCTAAAGTATTTTGACTTGCATATTAAGTTTAATAATAGCAGGAAAGCTTTAGCTCCCATAAATTTAAAGTTGAACTAAAACGCACCACAACAAAAAATATTTTGTACATTAAAACTTTATTTAAAAGGGCAACAAGCTTTTCCTGAAAATGACGGTATAGATTAGAGCCAAAACACGTAAAGAGTTGACAGACTTTTTATCAAAGTTTTATTGTGCAATTTATTTTTTCGTACTGATAAGTTTTAGTTTAACTTTTACATAAGTGCAATATATATCTTATTTTTGTTCCCGTTAAGTTTATGGTCTTAAAACGTTCAAAATCCGGGGCTCAGTTTCCAGTGGTGTCTACAGCAGATAACCCAACGTGGCTTTGCTCTTAAACGTATAACCTTTTTTTTTCATGAAATTAAGAGTAAAACTTATTCAATTTTCTTTTTATTATTTTTTTTTGTTTAATTTTCGCCTTTAACATTTCGGTATTTAAAACTACGTTGATTCATATTTTCCCATTCCTATCTAAGAAATTAGATTTCATAAATAATTATGTAAATGGTGATTAAGCATAATTTTTAATGTTAGGGCATTCATTAAAAGAACGTCAAAACAATTGAAATACATTATGACTGAAATTTGTTATTACACAGATTTCAAACATTTTATCATAACCTATTTATGATAGCTTAAGGCTTTTAGACATCTCTTTAAATAAATATACTATAGTAGTGCGAAACTTTGTCCGGAAGTTAAAAATATTTTGGTTTAACAAACTGGTAGAAAACATTAGGATTCTCAAGCTGTATCACGTGCGTGTTATTTAACATTATTTTATACACGTATACAAACTACATGTCATTTAAAATAAAGTTTTGGTACTTGCTAAAATAGATAATTTCGGGCATAATATATGAATGTTTTGAATTATAAATTGATAAAATAATTATCATTGAAAATAATTTATATATATATATATATATATACATATAACATTTGTGATAATCGTATGTGAAAATAAAATACATTTCTAGTTTTATTTGCAGTGTAACTGTATGCATTTAAATTGCTCGCACGGGAAAGTTAGTTAATAAGATCCTGGCATTACTCACAAACCAACAAGTTTATAACAATAGACACACGTGAGAAGACTTACTGTGTCTATGTGACCAATTTCTAACAACTGGCTTTTAGTTTATTTTATTTGTAAATTCAAAGGAAGAATTATTTAATTTCGACTTGCATTTTTTTCACTTATTTGTTCGTTATAAGGCTGTTGAGGCGCACAACTATTGTATGAGAAACACACTATAGTTATCGTCTGGTTCAACCCTACTGATAAACAGAAAATATTATTAAGTTAGAAGTTAAACGCAAGCACAAGTGTAACGTATTTGATTTATGTTTAACCTAAATTACAATATTCACCGGGCTAGTGGTTAGCAATCCGAACGGCGAGAACCTAAACTTCGAGCCTCGATATGCAGCTGAACACGCTATTGAATTTAAATTGTGAGAACTTTTCAAGACTGACTGGTTGTTACCACTTCTGGTCGGAAGCTCTAAATTAGTAATGGTTATGCCTAAATGTTGGGGAATTTGTCGCATAAGGTATTATGCAGGTAAATATATCAAATATCTTTATGTTAAATTGTAATTTTGACGGGCAAAACGTTTATTGATATGATATATTATTTTTCTGAATAATTATTCTTACATGGTTATCATCAATTAGGGGATGACTATCTGTTACATGTGGTGTATAAGCACATCTGTACTGCTAAAATTCAAGCACTTGTGCGTGGAATTGTTTGTTTGTTTATAATGAAGCACATAGCTACACAATGGGCTATCTGTGCTATGCCCACCACGGGTATCGAAGCTCGCATTCTAGCGTTGTAAGTCCGCAGACATACCGCTGTGCCACTGGGAGGCACGTGCGTAGAAATGGTTGGACTGTTTTTGTCTTAATTGTTCCATTACGTTTTCACGATAATACATGAAAATAGTGGTTATGTTTATTACTTTTATATCGTTTCGACCATTTTTCTTTGGTCACCATCAAGCTCATGCTACTAACATTATAAAGTAGATTAATTAGAACGCGTACAAATTCGCATTCTAAAAACACGAAGCAAGAACAATAATGAAATCCATATAAATAAAATAGTACTGTCTGTTGTATATCCATGTAACTACTTCGCAGGGAATAGATGGATCTCCACCATATTTGATATGGAGGTTCATTAGGTCCTTTGCCCCCTGTACGGAGGTTTATTGGTCCATGAGTAGATACAAATAAGTTTTCAGTTTTTCATTTTGCGTTTTGCGGTTTTTATGGGCGTTTTGATTGTTCTTATTTTACCACTACTTCGCTCCCTCTAGATGGATTTTTACTAAATTTGGTATTGAGGTTTGTTGGGTCCATGCGGAGATACATGCAAAGTTGTGGTTTCACAAGTCGTGTTTTGTAGTTTTTATTGTCGTTTTTGCATTTTTTAGAATAACATATAAGGAAAACAACTTTTCATGTCCTAAGATAACCTTTCATTAATCATGAATTTAGATAACTTTCTTCCAGGGGACGGATACTTCAACTAGTAGTATAATATTGTTAGATTTCGTCCAGGGGACGGGTACTCCAGCTAGTAGTATAATATTGTTGGATTTCGTCCAAGAGACGGGTACTCCAGCTAGTAGTATAATATTGTCGGATTTCGTCCAGGGGACGGGTACCCCAACTAGTAGTATAATATTGTTGGAAAAAGCATGATGGTTACTGAGAGTGAAGAAATTTAAGTGAAAAGAAGTAAAGTCATGGTATTGTAATCAAATTCCTGTATAAGTAAAATAAACGATAAATTAGTTTCATTCAGAAGGGGAGAATATTGTGTTAAATTTAACAGCAGACAGTCTTTTTTATATAAATAAACTTTCTTTTATTATGCGTTTTAAGTCTGGTTTGCCACTACTTAGAATTGTAAAAACTAACCAAGAAAACTGATGTATATGTTTTCTCTGTGGCCTCTAATCGTTAAAATAGATAGACTTGAACTACCTTTCTTAATGTACTTTACTTAAAACATTAGAGTATTTTTTATTGTTTAAACAACTTTTTACCCCATTAACAAGGTTTTATCTGCAAGTTCAAATGAATACGGTCTTTAAATCATTTCTGATGTCAAGCCATCTTTCCCATAGGAAAGGCTTTCTATCTAACTCTCTGTATTCAAAGGTTCTTTGTTTTTACAAGTAAATTCACAATGATTATAAAGTAACCTATAAAGGGAAAACTAAGCATCATCTTTCCGTCCGGACTTGCGAGTACGTGGGAGTGATATTTTGTAAGGCCCATAATGCACTTTCAAGTCCACACACACTTCAGTAATTCTCAGCCACATATAACCTCCAGGTCAGGAATGCACAAAAAATATCCTTACATGGGATGTGAAGGTGCTACTTAACATTACGTTAATGGATTCTTATATGAAAAAGCAAACTTGTTAAATGTACATTAAAATGACTTTAATGGATGCGTCTATGAACAATCCAACTTATTAGGTGTACAATAAAATGACTTTAATGGATTCTTCTATGAACAAGACAACTCGTTAGGTGTACATTAAAATGACTTTAATAGATTCTTCTATGAACAAGCCAACTTGTTAGGTGTACATTAACATGACTTTAATGGATTCTTCTATAAACAAGCCAACTTGTTAGGCGTACATAGAGAGTTTAAAATTAACATTTAGTTTTATTTAGACAAAAATTGTGATTTGATCTGCCATTAAACTTTGATACTTGCTATAAGAATTGCTCATTACAATGCTTCTGTTTTAGAGACTGGGATATTTTTTACGTAATTAAGATATTCCTTACAAATACCCTATGTCCCTAAGCCAAAGCAGGTGAAGATCTGGAAAATGAAAGACAGTTGCATGAAATTAAAGGTTTAGGCAATGGAAACATGAGTGGGGAAAATTATAGTTTATTGTGGATGTTAAAACTGGACTCTGAAGAAGAATGAGCAGAAAAGGGTGACAGCATATGATAATGTGTTGCTGGAAATGATCACTTCAAGTAAGCTGAAGAGATAGGAGGATCAAGAAATGAGTGAGAGAGATGGTGGGAGAATGGTATGTTATCTAAGGTGTAGAAAAGAAAACTGGAGAAATTCTCTCACGTGAATAGAAGAGGCGCAATTTGGAATTGATCACAACTGAAGGGATGGTGAGTAGCTAGAACAGACAAAACTTGAGAAAAATTATATGAATGGATAACCGAAAGAAGTTGAATAGTGTGAATTTGGAAGAGATAGAACGAAGAACTGAAGTCATCTGAAGAAGTCACGCAGAACAATGGAATACGTCATTCGTGTGGCTACAGAAGGTACCTGTGAAAGAGCCAGGAGACAATCTGTTTTAATTCATGAAGTAAAAACAACAACGAGCGAAAGAATATTTTTTTTGGCTTCATTGCGATATAAAATATAGCGCATAGTAAAACATGGAAACTATTATAAAATATTATATAACAATGAAAAATGTAATTTTTTTTCTAACATATGTACCATAACCAAAAATGTAATATAATTATGAGATATTTTTTTAGAAAAAATATACATCGGAATGAAATTTAAATATATATATCATATCTGCGATATCAAAAAATTATGTTAATCATGAAAATTACTCCTGCGATCATATTCTTGGGGCCACCCAGTGGCACAGCAGTATGCCTGCGGACTTACGATGCTAGAAACCGGGTTTCGA